CTTTAATTGAGATTGTACAAAATTTCAACATCTCATACAAACTAGTCTCAAAAACAATTATTGCTATTTTGCTTAAAGTTAATGAACTTTTGTATAAACAAATATAGAAACCATATTGTATAAATTTTGCTAACTGGGAACAACAACAAGAACTTAAACCATCCTATGCCAGACCCTCATCTCAATCAAATCAAAATAACAAAAGAAATTCTAATTGCAAAAATTATACTTATTCTTGTCTATGTGGGCTACTTAACCAACTACACTCTAACTCTAATACCTGTCTACCTATCAGTTATGCTATCTATAAAATCAACATCTAGACTATCCTCTGGATTAAATATAATATTTCTTATAACCATATTCTAAACTTACAAATTTAGGTGAGTCTTGACCACTCTAGTAGGTTTAGATCATAGATAAATATATCTGAGCTTTTATTCTTGAATGTAGTTTTTCTTTTATTTGTACTTAGAATAGCTATATAGTTAGCAGTTTAATAGTTTAGCCCTGATTGCAAGTGTTGGTTTTAGCCATAGCATTTATATAGAAATTACTTTTTGTACATAGTAGCTCCATGTAGCTACTAATTTTTAAACTACAGATACGAGCAAGGCCTCACCTTAATATCAAAAAAAAAAAAGTACCAATCTGAATCATCTTTGACATAAAAATAAAATATATCCTATTCTTTGAATAATAATTCTTTGTCTAAATGTGTTTTGTAGCTTTTAAAACACTTTTATATTCCATCTAAAAAAAGTGTTAGTTGTTAAAAAAGTGAAAGTTTTTTAATAACTAGATCTGTATATTCCAAATACAATAAACCTAATAGCCCTATATTTCAACCTACCAAAAGCTTTAAAAACACACCTCTGAATGTAGTTGATAGGCATAACTCTGATCAGGCCTTCTAAAGTACTTTTATCATCTTTACTTTGTTCAATCCTTAATTTAGCTTTCTATTATCAGCCACATTTTTCAAGTAGAGCACTTTAATTAATAAATTTTTCAAAAAGTTGAAGCAAGTTACTATTTGGGTTGTCATGAGTAGAAAAGAGATTGTGAAAGAAGCAACTGGAGTACTCAGAGCAGGGGAAGAAGAATGAGTAGACACAAAAGAATTATTTCCAAATTGATGTGAAGGAGCCAAATAAGATAAAGCTTTCTAATGTTCATAAGGATATTGCATAACAGATAGCAGCTGAGAAGGTTGTAAATAGGGCAATTTAGAAAAAGATAATAGAATTTGAGGCAAAGTTTGATCTGTTAAAAGAATCAACTGAGCTTTTTTGTAGAGTTAAGATATTTGCTATATTGTTGAGAAGAATTGTAATTATTTTAAAATATAAAGTATGTCATGTTCTTTAAAGAAAATTTAATTGTTATTCTGAGCAATGTAAATGTAAAAAGATACAAATACCTATGTAAATCAAAAGCATAACATACTTCAACAGTATTTAAATTACTAGTAGTCAAATGTGATTACAACTCATTTACTAATTTGTGAGAATCTCTGTAATATAAACTAATTATGATGATTATGGAAAGTTTAAAAAAACAAGCCAACTTTTTTAAATACACCTACTTATTTGATATAATAATGTTAAAAGTTGTTGGCTTTAAGAGTTTTAATATATAAGTGATTATAAAATATAAAGACAAAAAATAGAATGTGATACTCAATATACAAATATAAGTATTATAATTTGATTAATGTATATCATGTACAAATTACCAGAAATTCATTAGATTTTACTAAAAATAAATTACTAATTTGAGATTTGATTTGTACTACTATTAGATGTTTAACTTGACAATCAAGTTTTTACTTAATTTTGTTAAGCACTACTCTCGATAAGCTACTACATCTTCTATCTCATGTTCATCTATATAAATATCTTTTTTTACTCTTTTATAAACATACCCAAGCTTCTTTAAATAATTTTTAGCAGTATTGAGAGAAATAGTTAGAGGTGGTGCAAATCTGAGCATTGGTAAAATAACCTCATTCATTTGTGACATGATCATATACAGTATAATATTTCACTTATTTTCTTGAACATATGATTTTATTTGAAGAAGAACATATTCATCCTAAAGAAAGCATTATGTTTTAGTATGATGCCTATAGTGAAAATAAGGAATCTGACATAATATAATATATTTATACATCTAAGAATGAATGCACCTAGCATGATACACTCCTTTTTTTGCTACATTGGAAATGATTTTACTTGCTTTTATTTTTTGCTGATTATTTTAACAAACTAAAGATAAAAATAAATGCTATTAAAATGAACCCAAATCTCACTATTTATATTTTCTTTTTCGATATCTAATGCTAAATTTTCAAGAGTGGCTAGAATTTTTTTAAGTAAATTACAAGCTTTAATTTTATTCTTTGACAATCTTCTAATATCTTCCCCATCCTTATTGACTTTCTCCAACTGATCTTTATTCTCTGATTGTTTCTCATTGACTTTCTTCAACTGATCTTTATTCTTTGCCTGTTTATTATACAACTTTTCTTTACTAGTCTGTAATTTTTCTTGATTCCAAAAGGTATATAGTAGAGGGGTTTCTTTTGCTACTTCATATTGTTGCTGTCTTTTTCTTCTTTTAGTACAAACTGAGTTTTCTAAATAACATAGTCTACAAGTTTGATTATAATTATATTTCTGATAATATTTATTTACTGCATTTTGAAGTTTTTTTACAATGTTTTCAGCATTGAAATTTTCAATTGGCTCATTATGAGCAGAAAAATTATCATCATTATCATCAGTATTATGACTGTTATAATTATATTGTTGAGCTGCTGCTTGAAATCTTTTCATAATACTTGCAGCATTATTACTTTCAATTGCCTTGTTAAAACAGAAAGATTGCCAATATCATTAGAGTTTTCTGTTTTTGAATTATCAGCATTATGCTTATGGACTTTTGCTTTATAAGCCTTTATGGCTTTTTTTTGGCAGCTTGTTGAACATGGCATATTTTATGCTTTATAATTACTTTGTCTTAGAGGAATATATAAAGTTATTTCTAAGCAAATTGTTAGTTATTATTTATTTTTCTTTTTATATTTTTAGATACATTATTTAAAAAAAATTATGTCTGATCTTTTTTATCAATCTTATTTATTTAGACATACTGTGGATATTTTTTTTTATTTTGAATATTCAATTCTTATCATTCTTCTTTTTTTTCTTATGAATTCAAAGCTACTCCAAAATTTAGCATGCATATTTTATATATGCATTAACACAGCACATTAAACTCCCTCTTTAGAGAGTTCTAATTACTTTACTTTTAAGATTAGAATTATAAATACATTAGTAATCTGATATTACTAGAAATAATGCTAATGATTAAATTGTATAAACTCTTTCTGCAAATCCATTGCACAAAAATCAACTAAAAAATTCATTCGTCAAAAAACGCTTATAACTATTTATT